AGGGAAAGATAAGGGAATCCAATAAAGTGAGATGAACAAATATGAGCAATGGTTCAGAACGTGATTGAAACAAGACAAGATGGGAAATGGTTCATAAAATAATTGAATGAAGATAGGAAAAATACGGGAATCTAATAAAGTGAGATGTACAAAGTTGAGCAATGGTTCAGAACATGATTGAAACAAGACAATAGGGGATGGGAAACAGTTCAGAAAATAATTGAAGAACACATGTGGAGGTGGGTAAAAGTTCAGAACATTATTGAATGATGATAAAGGAATCCAATGAAGTAAAAGTAAAAGTAAAAATTGAAGACAATTATGGCAATGGCTTCAATGAAAGGTTCAAATTATTCTGCGCATACGTATGGTGTTATACTTGTTTTTATTTTTAAGTGAAATTCTATTATGTTTTGGAATTTTAATTTTTTTAGGTAAAAATGTTTAGAAAATTAAATCACGAGTATTGAAACAAAAATAATGTCAAGAAAAATTAACGAGAAAAAAAAATAGAGGTTATTTATTCTTAAACAATTTAATAAAGTTGTGAACTCAAATTATGAGTCTGCAAGGTTAGAGGAAAAAAAATTTTGAGTCTTGAAAATACATGAATAATTGTATTTTGGAGGGTGAAAATTTGAGTTTAGCCCCAATATGGTTGGAAATGGTATGCGGGTTGACCTGCATGATTAAAAGCTCGAATCATATTCAAGTCAACTCGTCAAGACAAGATTAATAAATATACGGGTTTTGAATCAACTAGCCAACACAAAATGAACAACCTCGAAACTAACTAGCTTGAAGTTTCCATGTCGAGTCAAATTCATGTAACTCAATTAGTTATATTAATTTAAATTTGTGTAGGGCTAAAATTATAAACATAAATTTGCTTTTTGTAGAATATTCTCAATATTATCATGATTTTCTTATTATATATGAGTGGAGGAATTGATATATCATGTTATTTGTTTGATAAACGAGTCAAGTTGGAATTGGAGATCTCTGAATCTTTTAATACCTCAACACGACCCAGTCCCACCAACAGTGGAACCTACTAGCGCATACGCATTTTGTAGCATTTGTCCCCGCTGAGCATTTTGTTCCTCACCAGGACTCTCACCAAATCCATTGCAAGCAGTAACCTCCAGTCCCTGCTCAGTCATGTGAAAGTTGCTTAACATGAAAGAAGCAAAGTTGATCCAGTATTTTTAACCAAAGTGTTCGAAGTAACTCCTTTAATTCCTCCATTGGGAAAAACTGGATGCAATCTTGTGATCCATCAACATTTATTATAGGGTATGGTTCACAGTGACAAAGACAGCATTTATGAAGTTAATGATTGAACCCTACTATTCACATAAAGATATGACATCATACATCATCAAATACCTTCCTTCAATATTCCAGCCCTCTCTCTCCATCTCTTTCTCAAGCCTAAACTCATTACTGGTACTCCTACTTCTGCAGGCTTATGCAGCCATCACAGATTCATCTTTCACAGGGGCTGATCAGTTTTCTGGCCTATAAATACATACTGGCTGAGCTATCATTATAATTAATGGGCCCATTTCATTTTTTTGTTAACAACTTGAAGGTCCACTCATTATGGCCTGCACAAGAAATTGTACAAATTATGATCAAGGAGAGAGGCACTTGGAGCATTGGGGTAAAATTTGACCCCCCACCCCCCGTCTTCTCTGTCTCTTCAATCCAATCCAACAACAAAAGTTATGTGTGGCTATGAATGAATGATGAGGTTGATTATTATTTTGGGGACTTGAGACCCCTCCATACGGACTCCAATTGATTTTGCTTTGTTTCCTTCCAGAGCCCTGCCAAGCACCTCATTGATTCACATTGACAGGTTAAGCTTCAATGTAATATGGCATATCTTACAGCAATCAGAAAAAGAAAAAAAGAAAAAAAAAGTATATGCGTCGCATTGCATTTTGAATTAATAGTCATTGAATAAAGATGGAGATTTTACCAAATGTCCTCTCACTGTGATTGTGAGGATTTTAATGGATATCCTCCCCCCGCGCCCCCCTGTTTTCAAAATTTCTCTCTTTTTTACGGAAATTTGAACTTATTGGAATCCTAGTAGTTCATGGTTGGCAAGTTGGCAACCATCTGTTTGTTTCATTTGCACAAGTTCCAACCCTGGCAAAATACCTATTGGTTTTCAGTCATTTGAGTCTATATTTCTCCCTTTCTTTCCTTCATGCCATTGCCGTTGCCAGTAACTAGAACTACTTTCCACAAGTTGGTAAACCAAGCTCAAAACAAAACAAGTTAATGACATGTTTATTTGAAATGAGAGAAGTCATGAATTTCAAAATGGAAAATTAAGAGAGAGGAGGACTGGATATGAGATCAATAACTGTAGATTACAAATGTGTAACCAACATAATTTTTTATTCATTAAACACCAGAAGTTTATTCTAATTCCTGTGTTCGGAAATTAGAAATCAAAATAAGTATAATACTCATTCCATGTAAATAACCATGTCACAAGAGTTCAATAAACACCCACAATTGGCATGTTATATGCCTATTGGGTTCTCCAGTTATCTGCATTACACTTGTTCCCATTTGATTTGTAAGCATCTCCCATCAAACATAAAATCTGAAATTCGATAACTTATGTGGCAATTTGACATATAATAAAGTTCTACATTCTGCCTGATATGTTAAATTAAAATATTATTTTATTATTTATTAGTTTACTATAATCTAAGCACATTAATTAAATAATAATAATAATAATAAAATAATGAAATAGTCTGTTTTTTTAATCAAAATAATAATAAAATAGTCAAACAACAAAAAATAACAGCAAAACAGAGAAATGTTATTCCAAGTTGAATTTAACTTTTCAATTGGATCAAGTCTCAGCGATTTTTTCTGAACCTAAAAGTGCCACGTTGGATTTTGCTCTAAGTCCCAAAAGAAACCCAACACAAGGAAAGCCCATGATGATTTCATTTCTCTGACTAAGGCCCAGAAGATGCCCACTCAGGTCTGTGCTTTCTGCTTTCCATGGAGCTCTCTCCCCTCCAAAACCCCCTTCAAAACCCTAATTCCCAATTACACTATTGCCCATCAATTTCCCACCATTACCAACCTAAATTTAACGTCTTTTTCTGTTTAATTTTATGAATAGGTAAATCATCCTCAACCTCAACCCAATTCTTTCTTTTTCTTATTCTTTTTTTCTGTTTTTTTTTTTTTTTAATCTCAGAGTTGTATAAGAATTCCAATTAGGCTGTGGTTGATTATGTTATGTCTGTTTTAAGTAGTTGTGTTAATATTGATTAGGAGGAGATTAAGATGAGCCAGCAACCATCGGTGATCCTAGCAACGGCTAGCTATGACCACACTATTCGGTTTTGGGAGGCCAAAAGTGGCCGCTGCTATCGTACCATCCAATACCCTGATTCAGTATGTTTCTCACTTCCCACTTTTCAATTTTTAAAGAAAGAAATTATCTTTGTGTGTGTGTCGTTGTAAATTTTGGATTTTGGAGTTTATTGAGATGTTGGTTTTGTTTTCAAATGATAGAATCCAACTGAGGTAAGCCAATTAGTTGGCATTGAGAAGATTTGAGATTGGTGAAGTGGAATGGTTTCATTTGTTAGGAGGTCATTGAGTTTCTTTTAGTTCATAGTTGCTTGATTATGTTTTCTGAAAAGATTGGAAAACTTCCTGGTGGGTTTACTTATTGTTTATTTAATTCATTTGTGCTGGATCTGATTTTTCCATTTTTCATGAGCACAGCAAGTTAATAGGCTCGAGATTACTCCAGATAAACGCTTCCTGGCTGCAGCCGGCAATCCTCACATTCGATTATTTGATGTTAATTCAAACAGCCCTCAACCGGTTTGTCTTTCTCACTCTTAGGTTTGCTTTAGTTTTTGTCGAATTTAGATGGGGACTTTCATGATCATTTGTTCTTCTTCCATCAACTCATGAGCATCCTTTTGGTATAATTGTTTGGCAGGTGATGAGCTATGATTCACATACTAATAATGTAATGGCAGTGGGATTTCAATGTGATGGAAACTGGATGTATTCAGGTTCTGAGGATGGTACAGTAAAAATTTGGGATTTGAGGTAATTGTTGCCAACACACGTATGCTGTGATGTAGGATATGGGTGAACTGAGAATTTAGGTAGTTTAGTGGAAGCGAAAACAATGGAAAACAGAAAATAGAATGAACAAGGATAGGTCTGGAATCACTCCAAGGGTTTGGCTTCACACCAAGTAGTCTCCAATCTCTGGAAAATAAACTTTTCTTTATTTCTCAACAACTCAACTCCATAATGAATTACATAGAAGGGGTATTTATAATAATCTAACCCTAGAGTGAAAAGGAAAATTAAACTTATTCTAGGAAAGAAATCTTAATCCAAATAAAATAGGAAACTTAGAAATCCTACTGAAATCTGGAAAAACTAAAAATCTTAATGAAATCTGGAAAACTTAGAGAACCTAGGAACTAACAAATAAATTAGGAAACTAATTAATAATTCTCTCTTCCATCTCTTTCGTTCGTAAACCCTAATGGGTTTGACAAAGATGTCCTCATCATGCTGGTTGTGCTATCTATTTTTCTTTTATTTAGTCTTGTTCGTATTTTGTATATAGTTTGTTTTTCTTATATGTTGAGTTAATCACAGAGCTCCAGGTTGTCAACGGGAATATGAAAGCCGTGCAGCTGTTAACACTGTTGTGCTGCACCCAAATCAGGTAAACTTTTGCCTTGTCCCTTTCTGCTATGGAATATATATGTTAGGTAAAAATGTTATTAGGTTGTAGTGTCTTCATAACTGTTCAAGTTATTAAGAAGGATAGAGATAACATTGACTTTCATGATAATGTAATTGTATGTGTTTTTTTTTCTTGAAAAGATATGATAATCTTCGTAGACGATTTTGGTTTTGTGTCTGGTAAGCTTAGAGAGTGTCAAATGGCTTTCCCAAAAGAGAGTAGGGAGGAAAAAAAACAAGAAGGAAAGCATCATGCTGGCATATGTGAGCTCCTACTTACATTAGACTGTTCAAGTATGATGTTGAACTGGATGGAAGTTGGAACATGCATGCAGTTTTCCATACAGCCCATTGCCTTATCTGGGTAACTATCTTATGAGAGTGAACTTTCCCATAATCACCGTACATTGACCATGTACAGAGTTTTGGCTCATCAAATTGCTTATATAGAGATAGTGTTTGCTAAAAGGTCTTAAGTTGATGTAGTGAGCCAGTGGCCGTCTGTATTCTGTTGCAATGATGTTTCCATGGGTTTTGTTCAAGTCCAATTTTTAAGTCAGAGTTGTTGTTTCATGTTCATTCTTGTTCTCTTAATTGTCAATTTTATGCCCTTGAGAAAAATGAAAGAAGAAGGAAGAGCTTGCATGCCATAATGGTTTCAATTGTTTTTCTAATCTTTAAATCTGTTTGTGGTTTTACAGACTGAACTGATATCTGGGGACCAAAATGGCAATATTCGTGTTTGGGATTTGACAGCAAATTCATGCAGCTGCGAACTGGTATGCTTCGCTGTCTTGCACTTATGTACTTCGTATACACCTTTTATTACTGCTATGATCAAAATTGCAAATCTAAGGTGGTGATTTGAGGGGAGGGTTCGTCCCCGTTTTCATCTTACACTAATTTCAAAGGTCTCATTAGGAACCGTGTTGTCTAAACAGTAATCTTTTTTAAAAGCCTTGGTATTTTTTTAGGTGAAATGAAGATCTAAGTGGGCAAAGTCTTTACTAGACTCGTGCGCATATGTTGCGCTGTGTTTAACAATAAAAACCTATCTTAAATAGAAAATAAATTTGAAAAACAAAAACACTGTGGTGTTCAATATGCAGGAATAGATGGTAGATGGGAAGGGGATTTTTGGATGGTATTACTGAGGATAAGAATGTGAAGTCGTTAACAGTGATGTGTAAATTTAACGGTTCTTTTGGATGGTAATTTACAGAATGGTACATTTAATATCAATCTATGGGGTGAATCTAGGTTCCAGAGGTGGATACGGCTGTAAGGTCATTAACAGTGATGTGGGATGGGAGCCTGGTTGTTGCAGCAAATAATCATGGTACATGCTATGTTTGGCGCTTGTTGCGGGGAACCCAGGTAGTACCTTTATGCACTCGATTATCTGATTTCACCTTCTTATCATACTTCATTCATTTTGACGCCAAGTACTTTTTCTTCCAGACTATGACAAATTTTGAGCCACTTCATAAGCTGCAAGCACACAAGGGATGCATCCTCAAATGTCTTCTTTCACCTGAATTCTGTGAACCCCACAGGTTTGATCCATTGAAGCCAATAACCTTTGTTTCCTTCTACCTTTCATTTAGGGTCAAATCTATTGTTTCATTTCGCCTTCTCTTCCTAACTGGTATTCTCTCTAGGTCAATAAACTTTTGCCTTTTACTATAACTTTTTTTTTTGTTTCAAACAATATCTACTATTTTATTTTTGCCTTCTGTTGCTAGCAGCCAGTATATTGATGTTGTCACTTGTTGGCTTAACCTGTCTTTGTACTTCTAGATATCTGGCGACCGCCTCTTCTGACCACACTGTCAAGATATGGAATGTTGATGGTTTCACATTAGAGAAAACTCTAGTAGGTAATTATCTGCTATACCATTAAAGGTGCTCATTTTAGTTTACAAATTACTCAATACGCCTGATTGTTTCTTAAAACCAAGCTATATGATAATTAATCTTTACTGTTTCTTTACTTCGTAGGACATCAGCGGTGGGTATGGGACTGTGTTTTCTCAGTAGATGGTGCCTATCTTATAACAGGTAATAGTTCTCAACAACTAACGATTTTAAATAACCCATGTCTTCTGAAGCAGCTTGTAGATAACGATGGACACTTCACAATTGAGGATTTTCACTAGGAGTTCTAAACCTTAATCTATAAAATGTCATTTTGTAAATTGGGATATGGCAGCACCCTATCCTTTTTCTGTTAAGTTCGTAAACTAATGCAGTAGTCAAACTTGTGCGATAAATTAACACTCAGATTCTTAGTTTTCTTCTCTCTAATTTTTCTATTGAACAATTTATCAATTATCCATGCAGCTTCCTCAGATACAACAGCAAGACTTTGGTCCATGTCCACTGGTGAAGATATCAGGGTGTATCAGGGGCATCACAAAGCAACCATTTGTTGTGCACTTCATGATGGAGCTGAACCTTCTTCATCCTGAACCAGAATCGCCCTTGGCTCATCTACATGCATGTCTGCCTCATGTGTGTATGTGTGTGCGTGTGTGCGTGCACACGCAATTACATTATTGTTTATAATGGAATTGTATAAAAATATGGGGGTGCTACATATCTTATTTCAGGTTCCCCATAGAGATATTTTCCACCTAATGTGCATTATGTGTATTACTTTTGTAACCAAAATAAAGTATACTACTTTCTTCATAATTCCTTGACACTTTGTTAAATCCACAAATTATATCGTGCCCCCTAATAGCAGCCTTACTGAACAAGTGAGATCAGCTATGCCTACACTGTTTATTGTTTATTGTAACTTGTAAGCAATGTTTCTTATTGCAATCTCATTGAATGGTTTGTAATAACAGTACAGCTGTATAATCCAAAACTTGGCTTTCTTGGCTTTCATTCTGCTTCTACAAAGTGGTGGGGGAAAAATGATACAGTAGACTTTTTTGGATTTCTTCCCAATTCCCATTTTATCTCTGCATTTGGTGCTTCATCATTTACCACCCTTTTCTTTGAGGTGAAAAGAAAGGTTTTTCCCTTTAAAATAAGGTGAGTTTATGGGGGTTTTGGCTTTAAGTGAATAAGAATGTAATTTTGGACAAGAATATATATTTGTGTGTGAGCGCAGACACAATGTAGCATTTCTGATACCAGTCTAAAACCACAAGCACCACGGCACCCTTTGTACCCGGTGGGCGCAGTCCAATTTTTATCTCAAATTAAAATCGGAAACGGTACTATTTAACCGGTTCGGTTTAGTCTAGTTTTAATGAAAAAAAATTAAAACTGGCTGGTCTGGTTCAATTTTTGATATTTCCAATTTTAAACCAGATTATTATTATTATTTTATACAAATTCCAACTAAAATTTTATGTTTTGGGCTTGAAAATTAATAAATTATCCAATTTCATAAAAAGAGACATTGGGCCCATAAAAGAGAGATGTTTAGAAGTTGGGCTTGGGGAAATAATAGCTATGAGATTAAAAAAAGTAGCATTGGATTTAAATAATTTTGTAAATAAAAAAAAAACACAACCGCCGTTTGGCCCGGTCTCATTTTTTCACTATAAGAATTGGAACCGAACCAAACTGGTATGGTTCGGTTTTTGGTCATCTCGGTCCAATTTTTGGTTAACTTGGTTTTTTCCGTCTTCTTTTTTTGGCCCAATTTGACTCGGTTTTCCAATTTTCTGGTTTGAATGTCCACCCCTACTTTGTACATGAAGACAATTATTTAGCTAATACCTATAATCTTGCGCTGATAACTTCCTTTATATAATTACAGTTCTACCCTAGTTGGTTAAGGTTTATGGCCCTGACCACTCTATGTCCGGAGGATTTGCGAATCCCTTCTGCTTATGTTAAAACTTTCTAAGATCCGCCTCATGAGATCCAAGTTGAGAGATAAATTGAATAGGTTTGGGCACCCCTATTGGGATGTACTATTAACCCTAAAATGGGGTTACACACTAAAAAACACAGTAAAGTAGTTTATGAATATCTCCATGGTGGACTTGATTTTACCAAAGATGATGAGAATGTTAATTCCCAACCATTTATGCAAAAGACCATTTCTTATTTTGTGTGGAAGTAATGGTAGAGATAGGGATGCTAAAAATTCACGTCAAGTCCTCGGCCCTAATGAGAGGAGATTTCGGGGGCGGAGGGAAATGGGGGTGAGTACGGGGATCCTCAATTTAAAAATGCCCGATCGGAGATGAGTGAGGATGGTATTGTTATCCCCATCCTCGAACTCGACCCGATAAATGATGTATTTATTTTTAATTAATAAATATATATATAAAATAATATAATATAATATAACAATTAAAAAGTTTTAATGTATAAATAACTAATTAAATAATATTAAGTTAAGGTTTTTTTTTTGGTGGACAAAATATTAAATTAAGTTAGATTAGTCTATTAAAGTAGCATCGCCGCTGTAATATAACAACTGTATGTACAACCACATATCCTTTTCTTGCGCAAGTGTTTTTTTGTTTTCCATTGAGTGAGGACATTCATCTTGATGATGAATTGTCGATGAAAACAATTTGTTGTATTAGTTCCATTATCTTTTAGAGATATTTAGTCATATACCTATTTTTAGCACTAATAATATAGATAAACCCTATACCATTTAATTTCTATAAACAAACCCAAAAAATGACAGTTGGTCTTATTGAATTTAATTTTGATTATTAAATTACTTTAATGCCCTATTGAGTGTTTTGGGCTTTTTTATGAGATTTTGGGGTTGGGTTTTGTTTTAAAAAATCAATGACAATTTTGCAATTTAAAAGAAGTTAAAAACCTTTTTGTTATGTTGTTTTTTTTTCTTAATATTTTTTTTTATAAATAATTTAGGCTCCTATATTGGATATAATAGTAAATTTAATGTGAAATTAAAGTGTAATATGGATAGTTTTATATTTTTTTTAAACATATAATCGGGGATTCGGGCCGGGTATGAGATATAATCCCCCGACTGAATGGGAATGAGGGATTCCCCGAAATTTCATACCAGGAAAGGGGGCGGAAATAGGAATAGAGATGATATTGCCATACCTAACCCCTACCCGCCCATTGCCATCCCTAGGCTCAAACATGTGAAATCCAAGGCCATTACTTTAACGACATGCATAACCCACCAGAAAAGATTAGGAAGTTAGGATGGTGTACTTAGAAGCGTCTTTTTCCTACCATTTTTCTGTAGAATTCAACTTTGCATTTTTAGTTAGTTATTGAAAGGTCTAAGAAATATCATTGTTTGTAGTTTTGGGTATTAGTCCTTTCACACAGGTTTTAATAGCCATTTCCTTAAAAGTGTGATTGGGAGTTGATAAATCAACTCAGTAAATATAATCAATTTGCCAAAAAAAAATAAAAATGATCAGACCTGCGTTATTAAAACAGACCTTGGACGTTACATGCTTAACGAAAAAAGAAAAAAGAACTCATGTAAGTGAAATACAAATACAGGGCTGCAATTGGCCAAAAATATGTAAAAATCTCATACATATATATATATATATATATATCTATCTCTGTGTGCATTCAACCTCCATCTTGTGCATCAAATCAAAACATCCAGTACCCACATTTACTGGCAATCCAAGACAGATCCTAGCGGATGGGGTTTCCAAGCGATCCACCTGCCCATGATATGCTGCTTCAACAATGAACTTGGAAGCTGTCTCAAAAGTCATTTTATTAAACGGAGATATCGACTCTACAATGCCTCCGAATCGATTCAATGGACGATAACCACCAGCATGAGTCATAAAGTCAGCTATTAGTGTAAGATGCCTAATGTTGACGGATATTCCGTAAGACTTGAAAACATTATTTATTTCTCGGATGATAGTTTCCCTGGCGGCTTCTACTCCGTAAGTGTTCAGCATAGCATGTATGTTATTGGAATAAATATACCTGACATCAAGAATATCTTGCAGTTGCCAAAATGTACCGAAATCAATTCCAGTAGTTTGCAGAGCTGGCATCTCCTTTTTTTCCTTGGATGAAAAACTTTGTTTATTTTCAGGATCCTTCCCAAAGCAGAGGACTTGATTTTCATCGCAAGTAATTTGTTTACAGTCAGCAACCTTTCCAGATCTCTGAATATAAACCTTCTGGGCTGTCTTCTGAGCAATCTGCATAACATAATTCAAACAATTTTCAACACAGGGCTGAAAGAGAATGTATAGTAATAAAATATATAATGAACACCTGCATAGTAACAAAAATATAAAACGCCACATGAATCTAATTATACTCGTAAGTTAACGGCGGTTTTGGGCATGCTTTTTATTGTGCTGTTTTCATTTTCCTTAATAGTTTTTATTTATTTTTATGAAGCTTCTGACCCATATAGCTTGTCAGAGGGAGAAATGGTGAGTAATGCGTGGGCTAACTTGCCAAGGAAATACATAAGAGCAGAAGTGTGATAATGAGTAAAACTAAAAGTACCTGAGACAGCAAAATATGAGGTTCATTGTCGGTAAATCTAAAATGGACCTCGAAGTGGAACCCCTTTGCTGACACAAAAATTGCCCTGTCAGTCTCCTTTTTTACCATCTCTGCTCGGACCTTCCTTTTCTTTCTAATTTGGGATCCTGATTTGGTCTTTTTCTCCTTCGACTTGGGCTTAGCTAGGTCCCCAGCTTCTTCTAAAGGACTTCCAGGCATTTCATCACTAGCATCGATAACCCCAATTTCACCATCCTTACCAATTTCAACTTCATTTTCCTCCTCATCAATTTCACTTTCATCTCCATCTGACAAGTCTGCTTCTCTCACTTCATCATCACAGCCATCTTCATAATCCATCTCATCTGTAGCTTGTAGCTTTCGCTTATGGGCATCCAGACCAAAATCCTCGACCCCTTCACCATGTTCACCATCATCTGCACCACCATTGTCATCATCTTCTTCCTCACGTTGAGATCTTTTTTCAGAAAGATTTTCATCTGTCTCATTTGATGCCTTTGGTTGTGAATCAGGCGTGAAATTTTTAATACCACTAATTTTAGAAAGCAAAAGAATATGATTTTGTATGGCGTCTTCCAACTCCCTAACAAACACAATCTCTAGGATTTCCTCCCAATCTTCTGATGAATATTCAATGATGGTTCGAAGATGTTCTGGTATGTGGAGTGTCATCTCAAGCTTATAAATACGGCAAGTTTGACCATCCTGAATGAAAAATGGCACAAAGGTTACTTTCATACTCTCGATTATGTCTGCCACAGTGATCTTCTTCAACTTATCAGCTAGCTCCTGAGCTTCCTCCCTGCATATAACAAATAGAGTATTTCTAAGTCTATAAACATAAAACACGGTGGCCCTACATTCCATAAAATGTCCAAGTAACAAAATACTAGAGGACAAACATCAGATAACACATGGTCAGCAGGGTTTAGCAATATTTAAAATACAAATTTATAAATAAACCCAATCCTAGACATGTATTTATAAAAAAACCCAAGCACTATTTAAACATAGAAACACACCCAAAATCAACCCCAAAGTCAACTTTTTGGGTGTGTTTATAAATGGGTTTTGAGTGTGTGTAATGATGGGTTTTGGGTGTGTTTATATGTTTAAATAGTGCTTGGATTTTTTTATAATTTCAACCCCCATTTTGGGTGTTTTAGTGAAACTCCCTATTTAAAACTATGAAAGACATAAGCTCTGTCATTGAGAGCGAATTTACAAAAAAGCAATTGGACATCAATAAACACTAGGTATCAGTTATCAGCAAGGATAGCTTTGCATGCAAAGTTGCATTCAATTGAGACAGAATAATACATCAACCCTACCCTCACTTTAACTATGAACCAGAGCCTTATGTGAAAATAAGATTATTCAATAGCTCAGAGCATTCTCTTTGAAATTTTGAAACAATAAATCCGTACTTTTGCAAGGATTACTTAAAGACTTATAACAAAATATTAAATGTACAGTATGTTCAGTTGTCTACTAACATACCCACCCAAAAAGAAAGAGCAAAAGTATATCACAACAACCAATTAAAGACTCACTTCGATCTCCCCTTTTGCAATGGGCATGTCATAACCGGCGTCTTAATATCATTTGCAGCAGTCATCAAGATCTCTTGGAGGCGTGGGATTCCAAGGGTCACATTCATTTCACCTCGTCCCGCAAGATGGAAAGTATTCAGTCTGAAAAAGATAGCAATGACCACATGGCAGGATACATATTAGTATAACCAAAAATAATGCTCGCCTAAATACAAAAACAAAGCACATACCAAATGCAATTGGTTGTACCAAAAAAAAGAAAGAAGAGATAAAAATTTACATCTTTTTTTCTGTTTGAAGAAGAGAGAAATCTTATAAAGCAGAAAAATATACGATTAGAAAGAAAGTGGAACTGATGGCCAGTTCAAAGAGACCTGCGAAGGAGAAAGACAAAAGCTAGCTAATACTAAAAGGGTTTTTAGCAATAGACTCCAAAGAGCAGCTCCATAATTACTCTTCTAATCTTCCAATTATTTTATTTGTCCATGTCTTTTAGGAGACTAAATCAATTTGTCCATGTCTTTAAGGAGACTAAACCAATTTGTCCATGTCTTTTAGGACCCATTCTAAATCCTGATAAACTCATCGTAACTTAGGAGGGTGTATTCAATTAAGATTTTAAAAGAGTTCAATGGAGTTATAAAGTTTATAGAGTTCAATATATTTCAATTGATTTCTATCAACTCCATATAGAGTTTGATTGAATTCCTAAATTGAATTTTGGTGTTTGTTAAGAGTTTTATCATAGATTTTAAAAGAGTTGATTAGAGTTCTAAAATGTATTTTTTCTTGTTATTTTCAGCACTTTAGCTATTGCTTTTGTTGCCATCAACAATATCTTTATGGTTTCAGAATAATGTTTCTCTAATTCTTCGTCGTCCATTTAGTACTGTCTACTTCTTCCATCTCCATTAATGACAAAAAAATCTGAATTGCACATATGACATTATAAACAACTAATATAAAGAAGAAAAAGGCAGGAAAAAAAAAAGGGATGCTTGTAGATCAATAAAGAAGGCTAGAGCATATATATGATATGATGTACAAAAACAAATAAAAAAATAACAGCAACGAAAATAAAAAATAAAACAAGAAGAAGGAAAAGTAGAAAAAATAATTGGGATGCTACTGTACATCGATATATGATATACAGCAACATCAACTATTCAAAGAGAAGAGATTGGAACTTTTTATTTGTATCAGCAACAAAAACTACTGGGAAAAAGGAGAAACAACGTTCAAAGACTATTGATATTGAAGATGTATGATATATGAGATGTACAACAACAGCAACTATTGGGAAGAGATGAGACATCATACATATATGAAAGCGTAAAAGAAAAAGAGGAGATTTTTTTACTTCCACTTGACAAGCACACACGTTCAAAGACTAGAAAGCGTAGAGCACTTTCAAAGTTTCTAGGGTTGACATAAGATTTGTCAGGGTCTTTTGTATTTATACTTACCACTTTAAATTCTAACGAAATCGGGCAACTCATTAATTCCATCAAAATAAATGACTTTTTGAATACACCTAAACTTGGTTTGACTTCTAAAAAGTCATAATTGAATACACCTAGATTTCAATGTATTTTTTTAAAGTCAATTGAAATCTAAATTGAATACACCCAAACTTTTACAAACTCTTCTAAAATCTTAATTGAATACACCTAGATTTTTAAACTCTTTTAAACTCTTAATTGAATACACCCCCCTTAGTAAGAGTTACACTTTAAACTGTAAATCGCTGAAATAAAAAGTAATACACTTCACTACTAATCACAATCCACAGCCTTAATTATATTAAATTTAGATTCTGTTCAGGGTTTGGGGAGGGCTTAGATTCTAGGATTTAGCTAAAGCCTTAAATCCTAAATCCATAGCCCACAATACTGGGCCATGCTAGAATAAAATCCAAAAGTAACTATGTAGGTATTACATTTATGTCACTCACTGAATTTGCTTTCTGTTTCAGTTTTGGCAGCTGAGCACTAAACCGTAAGCTCCAAAATGACAATTCTACATTCTAAAGTAATCAACCTCACCCTAAAAATTTAAATCCTACCTGATCAACAATCCAACCCTACCAAACCATTTATTCAGAAAACAAATAACAAATTTAAAAAAATAATAAATGTTCCATAAAAGCAGCAGGAAAAATGAATAATTTTGTTTTATGCATTGGCTAAAAATAAGTAAACATTTTTCCAAGTTCCTAACTATAACTTACAAGTTTTGGGGATTTCTACTAATTGGCCATGCTAAAACAGAGTCAACCACAACACAACACCTAAAACATAGTGGCTTTCCATTTTAACCAAAAATCTGAAAGATTTTTTTTGGTCATCATGTCTGTGAAAGACAAACTCCTACGCTATGCAGAAACTGATGCCCAAATTACGGACCAAAACTCCTAAGTCTCATTGCCAGTCTTCAAAAGTCCATCTAATTTCTCTCCAGCCAAACCACCTAGAGCACAGCCAAAAACTATGCAACTCCACATAACTTTGACCTTCATCCCTCCTCATAAAGAAGAGAACAAAAGTCCAAGAAATTACCAAGCTACTTCTGGCTAACTAAACAACTTCAACCACGGACACAAAATCACAAAATGTGAAAATATGATCCACAGATTTTAAATCCTTATTTTACAATATGCACCGCTGGCAGAAAAGGCAACTGTTTGATCTATTTCCGTGAACCATATCACAAGTATGGACCATGCCATAAGACACTTGCCAAGTAAAGATGTTCACCTTGGAGGGAACTCTTACAATCCAAATCGATCCTTATGGTTGAAAAAGCCTACACTGCAACAGTGTTGCTTAAAAAACAACATTTAGATTTACTGGAGAAACTTCCTGAGGATTCTACTTGTCGTTTTCCTGACTTTAGTCCTGGAAGAGTGGAACCAAGCAATTTCTGAAAGAAAAAAAGTAGTGAAGACAATAGCCATCATCTCAGCTTCACACAAGTTCCTTCAAAGCCCAAAGTCATAGTTCAACAGTAAGACAGTAGAGTCAACAAGCCTATTAGCCATGTTGTGAAACCTAGAGAAGTTATAGAGTCTAGAACACACATTTTTCAAACAACTCTCCCAAACATGCACCCTCTGAAAACTTAATTATGTCCCTGTTTCCCCCCTTTTTTCAAAAATTCAACCTGAAACCCTACGTTGTTCCCAGCCTAACCCTTGCATCTTGAGATGTAACCAAGGACATACATAAATAGCAAGAAAATGAACATTTAAAACAATATGAGAAAAGTAGAATGAAAACTCACGTCATCTGTGTTGACGGTTCTCCTACAGACTGACCGGCAAGAACACCAACTGGTTCTCCAGGTTGAGCAAGACTACAGAGGTATTTGTGCTCCATTAACTTCAAGAAATCCTCTTGGAAGTTATGATCTTTCTCTTTCAAGGCCAAATTATGCACAAACTTCTCTGCTTTTTCTTTGAGAGCCAAAGGCAAGTCTTTAATATAAGGATTTAATTTATCCATTTGACGACGACCTTTCTTGTGAAACATTTCTTTATTCTGAGAAGAATAAACATTAGGAAGTAAATAAATTATTGAAAAATGGTTTTGCAAGGAATTCATATTCAGAAAACCAGAAAGAAGTCCTTACAGCTATAAGGGATTCAAACTTTTGAATAAAGCTCGTCATATGGACATCAATGCCATCTTCTCCATAACGAAATTGAATAATGGAACCATCAGCATCACGGACGGTATTGTCATAAGAAACTTTTAGGCACTCAAGATTTTTTATTATGCATCTTTGCAAGTATCCACTACGAGATGTTTTGACAGCTGTATCAACCAACCTAGCAGTATGAAGATTGTAGTTAAACAAAGAAAAAATCAGTGAAATGGTCACTAAGGATACAATATACCATTGGCTTTATTTGTTTGACTAGGTAAAGAAAAGAAAATATTTTTGATCATCCTACAATAACAACATGATGGCACACAAGTGCGCAAAAACACTCCATGTAAGCATAAAAGTGATTTTCTGTCGTAAATACGTTTGAAAATTTTAATATGAAAGGCTATTCCTAAAACGGATAAACTACTCAGATTCTCTAAATAATTTTAAATGAAAAGAAAAAATAAAAATCACAGGTGGAGTAAGTGGCTGAAGGAAAAGTTTAAAAATGAAGAATCAAAACGCATAAAAACCAACACACAAGCAGCACACGCTACCTATGTTTACAAGCTATAACACGCCCTTCACTAGGGCTGTCTTTCAGAATGAGTCCTATGCCAAAACGGAATAAGGGATACATTTTGACACACTAATAAATACAGGGTCCCAAATTCCGAGCTATATAATTTTCTTGGGGAGGAGGGAATGTTTTTTTATTTATTGATCTTTGGGTTAAAGAATAGATAAGACGATCAGTGTGCTATAAAAAAACCACTACAGCCTTTCTGAAGACGCTTACACTCGACAAATTTAATGAAAAATTTTCAAATATATGATCTAGGTAACCCAAATGCAAGACGAACTTGTACAGACTTGGACCTACTCATAAGCAACAAGCATATTTATTCAAAGGATTTAACTCATTCCAGGGCTCCATCTATTACGAAACTACAACATAATCAAGCATGCACATCGCCACACAAGAACAATATATAATTAAAACAACAAATTATAAAATGAAAACTAACAGCAAGCAAAAATTGGTTAAAATGTTACATGCAAACTCTAAATCTATCTCAAAAACATTATATTGTAGAACGGAGGAAGATTTAGTCATGCTCAGCTATTAATTGTCCCTTTCTACTATGAAGATTGAAAAGATGAAGTACAAGAAATAATTCTTAAAGGCATTGTGGCACACTAATACAATCAATCCAGCAATGCTGCAATCCAATCTACCTCTCAGAAATTACTGTAAAACCATAGCACTGACCCAAACCAACACTACATTATAAAATTAGAGTAGACATAGCAGTTGATTGATGGTTAGAACTTATGGACTATAGGGATTTCTTTCCTCCCCAAAAGTCTGTTAGGGTGGGGAACTGAGGAAGCAGGACGAGAGTTTTTTTTTTTTTTTTTTATTAATTTTAAATTTTATATCTATGTAAAACCTTTATCTGTATTTTAAAGCAAATAGAGTGCCATCCCAGTATGCAAAGAACAAGAGTGATCCCTTGGTTACATATTACTTGCATGGTGAATTCTATTGACACCTCCCAAAATGCTCTCTACACCCTCTAAATGTTTATTGTGACTTGTTAATTAAGTTGGTGGAAGGGGTTTACAGAATCTCGTTACATATGAAAAACATGGTCCAATAAACATGAAATCAAATAATTCTCTTTTTAATATTATGTGATGAGTGTTTTTATTTTTCCAACCTCGATCTTTCGTTTCACTTCCCCAAGGGAAAAGCAAGTCTCAGTTACTGAGCCATAACTCAACTTAAACTAGGAGGCTCCATTGCTTGCTTGAGATCTAGAAACTCAAAACATGCAACCAAGACTATGACAAAAAACCACAGTTTAAACCTTCTTATCCACCAGCACTATGATATTTCAAGCAATACAGCTGCACGACAGCCCGACGGGTACAGATGCTGTGACATAAAGCTTGCAACTTCCATAAAGAAAAACAAACAAAAAAGAAACTAGAAAAGGAAAAAAGCATATCTTATATTCTTGCACGACAAAATATTGCTTACGGAAAAACATAAAGGCTGATGATTTCCACCAAAGACAACTTAGACAGGGCGGAGAAAGAAGTTTAAATTACCCTTCACGGCCAGCCATGCAATGGAAATAGTACTCCTGAGGATGAAGACCAGTAAGAAAACGATCAATGATAAAGCCTCCTGCTCGAGATGACCAATCCCATGGGGGAAAGCACGGTAAGGTCTTTCCAGAAATCATTTGAGGGACCCGTTTGCCTTCTAGCTCTTGCTGACCCAAATATGAAGTTATTTGTTGGAGATTAGCCTAATCAAAACGTTAAACAACATTAAATATATATACATATAAATATCTATTTATGAAGTTTCTTGAGTAATACTTTATAACAAAATTTGACAACAAATAATTCGTAGCTTACAGATGGTAACATGTAGACTTTTAAATTAAATCAGAACTATCATACTGTTGCACTAGAATGGTTTACATGATACAATGCAAAGGGAAATTAAACGAATCCCCAAAAACTAGGGTATTGGTATGGTAAGGATACAAAACAATCTAATAATATATGTATTTTTTCCTTTTCCTTCTTCTCTTATTCATGTTTTGTTTCTCTGTCCAAATCTCTTTAAACAAAAATAAAGTTCATAATTTAAAAAAATCTTTAAATTCAACCAGAGCAGAAACCCCCCTTTTTCTGAAAAAAACAATACAAGTAACACCTTCGGTATCCCTTGCATATCCATATGTATCCAAGGGTCAAACTTTACAAAAATCTATCAGATATAAATTTTTAGCAGAGCTGTCATACAATAACTCGAATACTAACATGTGCACACGATGTTGAGTATCGAATATAAAATAAACTGTAAAACTGATAATATAAATAACAACAGCAATAATAAGAACAAACATATCTTAATAAGCATGATCATGATCTAGCATAAAAAGGGAAGATGAAAATAACACATGCAGGTAATCCGTACATGTAGAAGCTATAAAGAATTGCCATTATTTCACAAAGGAAATCTTTATTTATTATTGCGACTCGTAAGTAAAATATATACTTAGATATTTTATTGCCTTTGACATGGAACACGTCACATGAAATTCACACTACACTTTATAACTTGATAAAATATTAAGGTATGTATACCCAATGAACGTATTACAAAATTTCTGCTAAAATACATATGTATCAGTGATAAGAAACAAATCTGGTTGAAGTAATGTCAAAAGCATAACTACTCTTAGTAATCTGATAGTGCACTATCATGTTGCACATAACTCCAAGCATGAATAAGTAAGAAGAAAACTCCAGAAACTTACCACACTACCTTTAGCCCCAGATGTTGTCATAAGATAGATACAATTTTTAACTGATGGTTTTGATAACCCCCTCAACAATAATTGTTTGAACACATCAGAGTTGGAGGTCTTGTTATTAAGCTGACTAATCATTCTCCTATCCAAGGATGCCAAGGCAGATTCTCCATTACTCCGAATAAAATTTTCGATGTTTAATTGCAGTTCCACTGGATCTGCAAATTTGATCAAGACATCAAACATGCATTAAGACAAATGAATCAACAAATGAAGGGAACAAAACGAGTGTAACAACTTCGGAAAGAAAGACAGGTAAGAAATTATACATCTCCATTGTAACCAATTTTTTTGTAAGATTGAAATTCACACCCTAGCAGACTCTATCTGAGACATCCAATGGCATGCTAATTTTCTTTTAGAAGTTAATACTCCCAATATCCCATGTTTTATCAAGATTTTACTTGATATTTATGTATGTATAGAGAGAGAGAGAGAGAGAGAGAGAGAGAGAGAGGGTGCACCTTACAGCCCCCATGTCACATTTTAGCAGCAGGATGAAAATACAATAGTTAATAGAAAATGTCCTTACATGTTGCAATCTTCTATGCTAATAACCGTTGGACCTTGGTCCAAACAGTTACAGAATTGTCCTATAAAAACACTGCCCCGCAAGTGCCTATATACAACCCAAAAAAATTTCAAAGCCAGCCACCATGCCGACAAACATCATGTATTTCCATCATTGCTAACACTCGTATATCAACTCGTCCCCATCTTGTGGAAATTAGACTTTTCACCACAGGTTTCCACCGATAACAAGTAAATAGACCTTCCACCCCCTAACAGGATATAAAAAACACTGAAACATCAACTGACGTTTTTGGGCTGTGGGTTCACACTCTAAACATTGCTTACACCTCATTCATACAATGACCTCACAATAATCAACCAACATATGTGTGTTGACATAAAAATGTTCACTAAGTAGCTTTTCTGGAAAATGGCATACCTTTTCTCTTAACATCTTTGACCTCGATAAAATCACGGTAAACATTTTCACCCACATCTTCACAACTTTCTAGTTGATCCTTCATTTTTGCGTCTTTGCTTTCCAATAGCAAAAGATCATCAATCCCACACGTGAACCCATGCATCTGAACCATAGCACAATTTAATGCAAGTTTACAAAGTTGCTAAAAAAATTATGGCAAACAAGAAATAGAATTAAATAATTAACAGTGAAAATAAATTCTGAACCCAACTAACCTGCAAATACACGGTAAATAAATGACTCAATACAGAAAGCAATTTTCCTGCAGTATCTGAGCCATAGAACTCCTGAACTGTATGGACCAAACCATAATCACCAAACTGAGCCTTGTCAATCACGCCGCGCACTAAGTTGTTTCTATATATTAATAAATGGTTCTCATCAGGCTCCTCTTTTTCCTTTGAGCTATCTTTATCAGTTGCTTGTTCTTTGCTTGGTTTCCTCTTTTTTTGCTGTCCATCTTTACCAGATTTATCTTCTCCTTCAACATTTTTACAATTAAAAAAACCACGTGGGATTTTTGCATCTCTTTCAACAGTAACTGGCGGAGAACCTCTAGTAATATGATTTAGCAAGGCAGTGATGACCTACACAAAGGAGACAATTTCATTTTAAATTTAAAAGTCCAGGAAAATCACAATTGTTAAATTAGCAATCAATAAAAAGAACAAAGCAAAGACAGATAAATGTAGTAAGCGTCCAAGAACATCACAAATAGTTATGCTTTCACACAAGGAGAAAGTCATCCAGATTTTCAACGGAAAACACATTTTGACCCCTAGTTTGGATTATAAATATAAAATAGCTGAGTTAATTTACAATAACCTGCTTTCCTGTCCAAAGCGGCTCTGGTTTCCAAATTGCAGGAAGAAGGGGCTGCATTGTGCCTTCAGAGTTAAACATGAAAACTTTTTTATCTGGTTTGCCAGAGAAAGCATCTGACACACGGGCTGAAACACAAGAACTGTAAAGAAGCTGATTAAATTGATCCCAACGTAAAAATGTATCCTTCTTTGTAAGGAGGACAGCACTTATAACATGATCCTGAAATTTTCAAAAAAGAAAAAAAAACAGCAATAATTATTTAGAGAAGCATTGGTATTGTTGATCAAAATATTTCACATAAAAAACTTAAATATTATCTTTAAGTGGCATATTACTATTATAATTATTAGATACCTGAATCAAGGCTCTAATGGGATCTCCACTGGTCGGCTTTACGTACTGATTATTTGCATTTACGATATTGTAAGCTTCCGAACGGGAAATTTCATCTTGCGGAAAATGAACATTCATCTCATCACCATCAAAATCAGCATTGTAAGTACTGAAATCACAACATTAAATCACAAATTACCATGTGCAAGCCAAAGACAAATTTCAAGAATCATAGTTCATGTAGTGAATATGTAAACAAATATTAAGATTTATATATGTGCATATGTGTGTGATATATCAACCTGCAATTAGCATAGTGCATGCGAATTGTTTTCTCCCCCTTCAATACACGAACTACATGCGCCATTATACTGGGTTTGTGAAGTGTAGGCTGCAAAATGAAAAAAAAAAAAAAAAAAAACATGAGCTAAGCACTCAACCAAAAAACTAATCATTAATCAAATTATAAGAAAAGAAAAGTTAACCTAAAAAATTATTTGAAGTACAAATGAAGCCACTTTACCACATCATATTATTGAGATTAGTATATTAATACAGAACAACAAGAAGTGGAGTTGCACAGCCTGTGCATTCATTTGAGCACTGGATCAGTCGTCTAAATATTCACATACAAAGTCCCATATGCAACCACTTAAAAAATATGATCTAACTTTCAACTATTATGTAATCATTATTTTGGATCAACACTTAGGCATCTACACCTTACGTAGACAAATCAACAAATAACAAATACCAAACTTCTTTTCTTTACAAGTAAACAGAAGACAAGCAGCATAAGCCATTTACCACTAGTATGGCAAACACAGTACTAACTGCTTCATACCTTAATGTTGACAATCAGCCTGGATAGCAAAACAACTTAAAACCTCCTCAACACAAAATATGGGTAGAGAATTATACATATAAAGTCAATTAATCAATACCTGTCGATTGACAAGCACAATGTCCCCATCTCGCAAGTGACGATGCACTATTTTACTTTCAATGTCATTATCAGAGCCCTTCCCATGTTGCATGACAGCCCCTTTTGAAGAAGGTAATTTTCTTGATATTGAAATGCGTTCTCTCCTGTTTTGCCTCAAAATCTTGGGACCAGATTTATCAACATATTGTGTAGCTCCAGGATGGATTTCAGAACCGTTGACAATAGCATTCCTCAGCTTGTCAACATTCCACGGAGTAACTCTCTGTAGGAAGATCAACATTAAAAATAAAAAAACAACATTGACGCTCCATTGAAGCCATAGAGCCCAATAGTAACCCTTACCTCAGGATATGTTAATCTCGTTGCAAAGTATGGAGGAATCCCAATCTCATTAACAGCTAAGTAGGGATCCGGAGATATGACAGACCGGCACGCAAAATTTACCCTTTTGCCCATCATTTTCTGCCGGAACAGGCCTTCCTTCTTCTCAAGCAACTGACATATTCCGGGAGCCGCATCTCTTTGACCTTGACCTAGAATTAAGCACAGAAGGGTCATTGCTTAACTTCTAGAGACAGGTGAATAATTGACAAAGATCATGCAGTAACTAATCCAGCATACCGAAGATATAATTATATGTAAGAACCTGCAAATAAATAGCGATCACTACATAAATGCACCAATTACCGTACACAGGGACACAATCCATCTAAGACCCATGGAATACTAACATCAAAGAGAGTGGTCGTGGAAATAAATAAAATCCAACACAGTATAACCTTGCATTTATTAAGAGCAAGCCATTCAGAACATTATAAAACAAAAAGGATTCCCAGTCAAGGTCATTCAAGTGTTTAATAACACTTTGGGAATCAAAACAAAAGTGGGGCCCACATAAAATCAGCAATCACACTCCTGATTTTTCAGGAGTGGGAATCCATGCTGAGGGTGTGGTAATGTCATTGCTGGTAATCATGGGTCATCAACAATCACTCTGATTCCAAGTTAGTAAACATGAGAGCAGTCACTTTTTGGAACCGTGTGGAGGAAAAAGTGGAAAAGGGATTAGAGGGCTGGAGTAAAACTTATTGGTCAACGGGGGGGAGGCTGAAATTAATCAAATCGGTGTTGAGCAGTTTCCCAATCTGATATCTATCACTTTTTCAAATTCCTTGAGGTGTGGCACAGTGATTGGAGGGGTTAATGAGAAACTTTTATGGTGGGATTACTTAATAAGATGGGATGTGGTGACTCAAGTTAAGGAAAAAGGAGGTGTAAGGGTGAGTATTAGTGAAGAGGAACAAAACTTTGCTTGGAAAGTGGCAGTGGAGATTTCATACTGCATGAAAAAGGCAGGGATCCCAAGATTGCGGCTAGAGACTCAAGTCGATGCCCACGGATTTTTCTAAAGGGTTTTTTCTTTTGTTGTGTGGTGTTGCTTTCGAGTGGGTATGGGAAATAGTAAGGTTTTGGGAAGCTGATGTCCAAATCTATTTGAGTTTCATTTATATGCTTCAAATTGATTGTTTGAACTTTTCAGGCTTATCAATCTCTTTTTTTTATATGCATCATTATTGTTCTCCAATTTCTATCTATGATTCTCTTTCAACACTTCTACTGCATGCTGCACACAAAATTTACTGATTGTATTACAAAGAATAATTAGAGGAATACAAAGAATTTCAAAATTTAAGGGTGTTTTTCTTAATGATTTTTTATACATAAAAAGGAAAAAGGAACAAGCAGAAAGCAAAGATGTAAAGAAAAAAAAAGGAACTATAGAACCAAATATTTGAACACAACACAAAATTTATGTCTTAACAGAGAGAATCCAAAATACACATTCACTCACCAGCAGCAGTTTTGCTATTGAACATCACATTTATACTCTCTTGAAGATCCCTCCACCGTCGAATTGTCCTTGAGTGCTCTAAGTTGGTAAGAGTTTGGCTCAAAGAGACATTTGCCTCCAGCACCTTACTTAATAAGACGGTTTGAGGATGCTCCATCACCTAAAAGAAGCATCAAACAAGAAAGGGTAACATCGTATACATCAAGAACATAAAAAATGTAAAAGCATGACCAAACAAATAGAATTCAGAGAAGGTGGTGGGACATAGCACATTACCCCATAACCTCTTCAAGTAAAACAAAAATTAACAAAAAATCTAGAACAACTCAAACAAGATGCAATTCCATAAAATAACCTTTTCTAAAAATTTAGTAAAGGCTTTGGGTGGTTCTCTTGTAGCAAGTTTTTACTAAAAAAGAATTCATAATTCTTATATACTTCAAAACGGAAAAGAAGAAGCCTTTCTAGATGAAGAAAAATAACTGAGAGTGGGTTCCATAAAAAGAAATGGCACAATGATAATACAATATGTGGTACAGAAAACAACAAACCATAAAAAAAAAAATATAAGGTCAATATTTTAGCAAGGTTGGTCAAAAGAACAAACAAGTTTTGAGCTTAAGAGTGCTAAGTCTATCAATAGAGAACCACAAAACTATCTCTTTTATAGATAAATAAATAGACAGAGAAAGGTATTATTATTCTATCCATCAACTGAACTATCCAGTTACCAAAGGACCTTACAATCACAAGGGCCTACAGTGCAATATAGGGAGTCCAAACGATCCAATGATCTCTCCCCAAGTAACCGGAATCCATCTATGAGGGAGTATATTAATGTGATGGATAAATAAACATATAGATAAGTGTCTATGCATATATATATATATACATATATATATATATATATAGAGAGAGAGAGAGAGAGAGAGAGCACAAAAGTGGGTCCCTGAAGTAAGATATACATACAGAATCACCACCCTTGGATGGAGGACGGAATTTGATTGGTGGTACAAGAACAGTCTCCAAGAAAAACATAGAGTGACCTCCATTTGTTCCAGTTTCTTGGCACTGGATATCACTAATAAAAGAGCAGAGTTGAGATTCATTTTCCCACAGAAGCCTAATAATTTCTTTAACCTGCAAGAAATGATAAAATTATAAAGCACTTCAAAATAAGGATAAGTTTTATTTTGAAGGTCCGCATAGCATAGACCCAAGTCAATGACAACAATTACAAGCATTGATCTCATCCATGTATCATAGTTTCATGCTAACAATGGCAAGGAACATACCTCTGTTGGAAATAGATCTCCCGACAAGGAATTTTTCTGCTTAAAGAACTCACTGAGCACTTTGCTCCCTTGTCCTTTTTGCATTCTTGTAGCAACACTGTTAAAATTCTCATCCTCAAGCATAGATGCCTCTTCATCTTGACCAGTCAAGGGTCCCTCCAGGTTGCACCCTCTGAGGACATTTTCTCTCGCATGGTCCTTGCCACTCTACAACCACCAACCCATAAAGGTGAAATATTAGTTACAAATCCAATACTTACAAGGCTGAGGACCCTTAATATTATAATAAAGGTTATAGACTTGTCCATGTTTTTAAAGACAAAAAAGAAATATAGATGGGCAGATATCTTCTATATATAGAAAAGTAAAACTAAAAAGTACTCAATATCTGTGTGAAAGCACAAACTTTTTTTCTTTTTCCCTTTTTTTAAATCAGAAGAATAAACTAGTGACCTTTTTTTTTTATAGGAAACACAAATTTCTATTGAAAAAGAAAAATAAGATACAGAAAGCTAGAAAATTATAAGATACAATAAGTTCATAACTCCCCCCAAGATGACTCTGGCATTGAACCCATAAAGGTGCCACAAAAACTCTACTATTTTCCTTAGAAAATCCACTTCCTCCCCAGTCCACCTTATCTTCAAAGCCTATTATTTCTCTTCATCCAAGCAACCTTAAGACCTATCACGGAAATGACCAAAAATCCTCAACCAACAAGAATAGCAATTTTCCGGCCAAAGACGCACTAGTCCAAACAATTGTAGACCCAACAGAAACCTAACCAGAATTGAAAACATTGAAAAGGCAATGCCAAAAAAATAAATTAATACAAATTAATCTACACGCTAGGCATCACAAGGAAACATGGATGAGGAGAGAGACGGGTACGAGGTTTCTGGCTTGGAGTATCTCACAAGTATTAGTTTTCTCATCGGTTGCCAAACTAACAAAATAACAACAGTTTGGGAGGTACACCAACCTTCCAAATCACCTTTTTGGAAAGAAACCTTCCAAATCATCTTAAAGGGCCTGTAACTGAATCATGAATGCATGTTTGCTGGGCCTAACTAGAATCAAAGATATATTATTAATCCAACTATCCTATAGCCCAATTCCGTCCTATAGACAGCGGAAACTGAATGGGATCTGGAAATTCCCTATCATTCAAATTCTAGGGGACAAAGGAGACATGGAAGATATTATAGCAATCAGTAAAACGAAGAAACAAAGCACAGAAATATGGTTCTCCGTACCAAACTTCGTCCAAAACTTAGACAACAGAATAAATGAAGAATAATAACCCTCAAAGTTATATTTCGAAGGATATCGAAAGAACCTTGTATTTAGAAGTTCACTCCTCGGCCACTGTCAGAAAGATTTGAGTTCTGAGTCAATAAAGGTTTCTTTCTTTTCAGAAAAGAAAGAAGAAAACTCATGTTCAAGGAGTTATCTCCACAACTACTTTCTTAAAAAGGCTTTAATTATAAATTACAATGGCTAGCTGCGCTCTATGTTTTGGTTTTTCACACAAGATCACAATTAATTGAGTGTTATCTCCTCCCCTCATCAGTCATCACTAGGCACCAGCTATTATCCCAACTTTTTAATACAACTGATGTGGCACATAGCATGGCAGCTGCTTACTGGGTGTAAATAAATGAGGGTTCACAGTGTGCCCAAATATAAGTAAATGAAATGCGGCAACATCAGTTGGGATTTAAACATTTGGGATACGAGTTGGTACCCCTAGAATTATTAATCCGTAGTGACCTCTTATTCTCTGATTCATTCCCGATATTTGGTTATACAGTTGTGTCTTCCCTCTCTGATCTTTCTTCCAATCAATTGTTATTCTCCAACTCTATCTAAAAGAATGATCAAGCACATGTAATGTGAGGGAAGTAAACCCTTATGGTATTTATGAAATAAAATTGACTCTATAAAACAAAAACTGAACCCTAAAAACATGCAATAGACAATTAAAAGGCATCCAATCTTCCTGTTATTATCCCTTGAAATTGTTATTGGACAAGTAGCAGAAACAATGTTCTATCTATGCAACAAAGTTATTAGAGAAGTCTTCGTCAACTTTTCTTTCAAACATGAAGGAAGAAAATTTTATTAATGAACAACAAAAACAAAGGAAGCCGCAGGCACAAGAGATAGAAGTGTCTACCAATGTCCAAGGACAGCAAAATGCCTGCTAAAACCTTACGGAAAAATTAGGTCAGTCTCTCATATAAACATTGACATACGTAAGAAAGTTGGCACAATCTTATGCTGCACATTCATCAAAATATTGGAGTTCCACTGCCTTTCACTTTTACCATCAAAGAAAATGAATGCCAAGACATACTAATAATTACAGAAGTAATATTTTATATACCACTTCTTAACCATAAGTTTAAAAGTCAATCGAAAATAAGGAAGCATATCTTTTTAATAACTATGAAAGCAGATACTAATAATTTCTCTAATAGTTCCATTTACTGAGTATGGAAGACCATACCATTTGGAACCATCCAAAAGTAGGTTTACTGATTTTGGGATTTTTAGCCTTGCAATTCTCCATGTGTTGGCAAAGCCTTATCCAAAACAGACATTATCTCTGTAAACTGAAGAGAAGTCCATCCTTGCTGCTTCGAATCATTGTCTATGTGATTACCACTCCCATTGCAGTCTGAGTATTCACTAGGTGAGTCAGACTCTAACCTTTTAGCCCCAAGAACATCACCTTTCATTATGAGTTTCAATTGGGAAACATGTTTCTCAACCTTAATCAAACAAGAAAGAAGCACAACAGAGAAGGGGAAAGAAGTTAGAGAGGATATAAGGTGATCAAGAAAAAAAACTTCTGAAAGCAATAAAATTAAGGGAACACCACAAAGGGCTATGGAAGACGTTAATTTCATTTCACCAAAGGTTCAATTACATGTTGTCGGCTTGTCCGGAAATGGTAGCAGAAGAAACAGGTTCTTTGTAGAAGTTTGTGGAGAATGTTGAACAGCAAGGGATTATAAGCTGGCAAAACAAGGTCAATATGACCACAATGACCTGAGCACGTATATGCTGTCTGACCACATGTTTGGCAACTAAGTCAATCAACAATAAGTCAAAACATCAGGATTCGAACTAGATAGCTGCACTGACCAAAATCAATCACTTATAAAGTATTACAAAAAATGGAATTTAAGAAAATAAGAATAAGAAATATGATAATAATACAGATTCCAAAAAGACACTTCATTCTCGTGAAAAAACTTAGTATTCTCTAACAGGTCATAAGTTAACAATGTATCAAGATTTTGTTTAACGTTCTGGCATACAAGATTTTGTAGAACTTCATTCTATGCCATATTATTGATTCTCCGAGACCATTCATGGCAATGCAAGAAGAAAACAGTGGACAATACTAAGCAAATAAATCATCATTATTGGCTTGGTCCAAAATTACAGTCTCCACACATCTCTGAGAGTCGAATACTCATTCCAAAATAAAGTGGTTCGGTTTTGCCTCTATTTAGTCAAACATAAGCATACCTCTGTAAATCACTAACCCCTAAAATAATAAATAATAAAACAAAACAAATAATATGTTTTAACAGTATAAATTAAATCCATGAAACCATTGAAACGAATGTGCAGAGAGCTTAGAATGCAAAGAATGGACACGAAAAGTGGCATTACAGTTGGCCGCGTTCATCCCCGAGTGGGCCCATCGCCTTGTCGTAAAGCCCACCATTCACGGGCGTGTGTGTTGAGTCATCGAACAAAATTGGGCTGGTAACCTTCACAAAGCTGTGCTTCCGAACCTCTTCGTCGGTGAAGAAGCCAAACCTAATCGCATCCACGGACGTCGTCGGAACCTGCGATAAAAGCTCCGACTTTGTAATAATTCACAAATTCATTGAGCTTCCCCATTCGACTCAACACAATAATATGACCACGACCCACTGAAAGTAAAACACAAATACAATCCGTATATACATATAATATACAAATAGATAGAGAGAAGGCGAGACCTCTGAGGCAGCCATGGCGACGATAGAGAAAGAGAAATATTGGAAGGAATCTCGCCGGAAGAAGATGAAGTCTGATTTCAGAGAGGGAAAAAGGTGTGAGGGTTTAAGCGAGGGTTTTGCGGTTTTCAACTCGCCGCAAGTATGCTTACTCGCGTGCGTGTTGCGGTTGTCAATTTACCCTATAAATTACTTCCGGTAAATTAAGGGGTGTATTCAAATTGATTTGAGATTATTTAAACAATGGGTAAACTACAGTAAATACTCAACATATACGGTCATTTACGAGTTCATATCCGATTTTGGAGATATTTATGGGTACATACTCAACGTCGCAGAAAATTTACAGATTGCCCCCTCCGTTAGCGAGTCCGTCAGGAAATCTGTTATCTACCTATGTGGCATTTGTGGGACTCATTTTAAATTGATGTGGAGTTCCACGTGGAAAAAACAATAATAAAATAATTTTTAAAATAATTTTAATAAATTAAAAAAATTTAAAAAAAAAAAAAAAAAACATACCCAAATTCACACTCGCTCTCTCTCTCCCAATCTCCTCCTAGCCCCCAGCCACCCAAACCACCACCCAAGCTCCTAGCCCCCAGCCACCCAAACCACCACTCAAGCTTACTCAGGGCACCTATCCCAGCCTTAACACCTCTCTTGTTCCAGCCCAACCCATCACCTTCCCCATGCCATATCCGATGTCTCCCAGACCCACTCCGTTCTCAAATCCCTCGGCGACCGCCCCGACCACGAGGCCGTCGACGTTTCCAAGGCCAGGCTCGTAGCCGTCGATTCTGATTTGGCAAAGAAGCTAGAAGAGCTCATTCTCTCACCTTGTCGATTTCGGCGTCGTCGTCAAAGATGACAAGGTGGAGGAGGAGGGTTTCACCAGCGACCAAGTCCATGAGAAAGTGGTTGGGATTCTACAGGAGGCCTCCGGAACCGAGCTGGACAAGGTCAACCTCTTCGGTTGGCAGTTGCGGTTCTTGCCCGAGGCCTTTGGCCAGATTCGCAATTTGCTTATGCTCGATCTTTCCAATAATGAACTCCAGGTTGGATTTCTTTTCATTTGGTTTGATTTGATTTAATTAACTTGTTAATATTGAATTAAGGAAAAAAAATCAATTTTGAACAGGTAATTCTTGATTCAATAGCTGGATTAGATAAGCTTGAAGAGCTAAATTTGTCTTCGAATCTTCTGGAGGCACTGCCAGACTTAATCGGAATGTTGCAGAATTTGAGTTTGTCAATCTGGGTTCTTAGCTGATGCATCTGGGTTCTTTTTCAAGCTTCTCTTTGGTGAAAAAGATAGCGGCTGAGGATGGGGGCGCAGGTGCTGGGTTTCGGGCTGGAGTTGGTGATGGCTGAGAGATTTGGTCGGAATTCATATTGTGGGTTGGGTTAGGTCGGAGAAGGTGGTAGGAGGAGAGAGAGGATGACGGTTGAGAATCGAGGGGGATATCGGAGAAGATGGATATTTTTTGTTTGTGTTGGGCTGCCATGGGTGGGTGTTGAGGGAGGATTTTGATGGGGGAGAGTGGTGAGTTCTTCTGGGTTGGTTTTGTGTTTTTTGTTTTGTTTTTTTTTAATAATCAATTTTAAAATAATTTTAATGATTTAAAATTAGTTTAGAAAAGTATATAATTTTTTATTATTATTTTTTTCCACGTGGAACTCCACGTCAATTAAAAATGGGTTCCACAAATGCTACGTAAGCAGATAACAGATTTTCTAACGGACTAGCTAACGGAGGGGGCAATCTGTAGGTTTTCTGCGACGTTGAGTATGTACCCATAAATGTCCCCAAAATCCGGTATGAACTCGTAAATGACCCTATAAGTTGGGGGGTTTACTGTAGTTTACCCTTAAACAAATCTTGTTGTATTAATTAGGCTTTTTATCACAAAACGTCCCTAACATTTGTGAAACTATCAAATTGCATCCTTAAAGTTGTTTTTATCACTCATGGTCTCTAACGTTAATATAGGTGCTCTTAAATAATCCATCTGTTAAAAAAACTGTTAAATTTAGGGATATAATCGTCAAATCAATCTAAAATTATAAAATATAGATATTTTATTTCCTTCCATTCTCTCTTTCTTTCTTGTTCTTCTTTCTCGCTTTCTTTTCTTCTACTAGCTACCTGCATCGTTGGACAGGAACAACTTGAAGAAGCTTTGACAAGCCAAACAGGACTGATTGTCGAGCTCAGTAAACTTGGTGAGCCACCTCAACTAATTCAGGGACCAACAATCCATTATCAGGAGGTTCTTCAAGCATCCTATAAGGCTGGGCCTTTCGGGCTTCTTTCTCCTCCTTCACTCTTTGAATCAAAACCTTCATGGGTGTAGGGTAAGGCTTCCTCTCTGACATTTTTCTTAGAGGTCTTGGTACATCTGCATGCAAAGGATAATCTGCATCATCAATTAAGGTAAGGGTTCTCTCCGATTCAAATCAAGCCGACAATGAAATCTTGTAAAATTGCAAGTTTTCCATATTATTCTTCTCTGCATATAGTGTGGAGATTTTGCACAATTACACAATTTAAAATAGAAATCGGTAGCTTTGTGTTTCTTCAAATCGAACACAGTGATTGAGACTAGCATTCATAAGGAAACAAGATGTTGATGTTCTTTTTGGGAGGTCAACTTAGATAGATGTAGAATGATGGATGATGGATGATGGGTGAAGGTGAGGATCTTGACACATGTGTGTGAGGGTTTGGGTAAGCGATAAATATAAAGAAGACAAGATGTACATGGTTCACCTTTAATGAATGGGCTATGTCCACGGAAAAGGATGTTCTCATTATGATAATGTATAATTACATTTGTATATGAGGTTGGACCCAAATATAAAGATTACAAGTGAGATGCCCAGGCCAGGGATCTAGAAGGGAGAGAGTTCAAGGCCCAAAGGTCTAGCTCTAAGACCCGGATCCTCTTCTAAGTGGAGAGCAGTCCCCCTTTCACATGAATACTATTCCCTATTTATAAGGAGGTGAAAGTGGGAGGTGTGCATAGAATTTCGATATGAGACTTTATGCAAGTCGCTGTGGTGGTGACACGTGTCTTGGAGATAAGGTTCGGCAGTTTGAGAGCTTCGGCAGGTGTCTAGCACCTTGGAAGAGTGTCTTCCTTCGGCAGGGAGGAGGCGTGTCTACCTTGGTGCGAGTTGTTTCGAGGCTGGATATGCTAGGTTGATTATGGTGTAAACAGTAGTCCCTCAAGTTCGCGGTCAAGAAGTAACTTATGGGTTGGGAACTTGTGAATTTTTGTGCTATCATAACCGAGCATTTCAAGTTCAGTGGGAGCCGTAGGGCATTCCCTAGTCCCCCAAGTTGGCAAGGTAGAAGTTGTGTCAACACTTGGAAGATATGGTGAAAGCTATATGAGTTTTTAATGCTTTGGGTAGTTGGGTACCTGGGCATTTTGCAAAGAGAAAGTTAAGGATTGGGCCCTTGAAATTGGTTTTCTAGTGCTTTTGGCAAGGAAGTGTGATTATTTTTCTAGGTCTTTGGTAGGAGAATTGTAAGAGCTGTGGTGTGGGGTTATAGCCAAAGCACATGCCTTGCCGTTCGGCAAGGCCATTTTGTCCCCCTTTAAAAAAAAAATTTTATTTATTTGGGGTGGCCATGTGACATGGGCTTGGAAAAATTTGTGTTTACAGGAGCTGGGCCCCATGTGGGCTTCGGCAAGGAAGCTGGGGCTGGGCCATGGGTGTATGTGATGGAGCTAGGCTTTTAGATAGCTGGGACTTTTGTAGCTATAAATAAGTTTTTATAACTATTGTCGTTTGGCAAGAAATAGCTAGGACTTTTTGTAGCTGGGCCCTTGTGTTTTTATAGCTAGTGTTTTTGTACCTTCGGTAAGGGAGTCCAAAGATTGGAAAAGAGGTGCAAGTCCCCCATTAGCTTAAGACCTGCCGCCCCCTTATCCATGACATCCAAAATTTTTGCCGCACGAAACCTACCGTTCAACATGGCAGTTGGGAGGTCGTGGGCTAAGCTTCTGTGAAAGGGACTAGAGTACGGAGTAGCTTTGGTAGGGAGCTCGGAGCTGGGTCTGTAGTTCAGCTCGGAGGAGGTGCCGATCGGCAAGAGATATTTGAAGGTATTTTGGTAAGGGGCTGATCTGTCTGTCGCAAGGAGTGGGTCTTCAAGGTTGATTAGGCAAGGGTCTAGGTCCTTGGTTCTCTTGAGGAGTCGGAGCTGATTCAGTGTCTTGATACCGTGAATTTCTCAAGTTTCAGTAAGACCCTTGCCGTTCGGCAAGGGTGATTTAGTATAAACACCAAAGCTTGAGCCCGGTTTCGGAAGCTGCAGGAGCTAGGCCTCTTGGATCGGGAGTTGCTTCCATTTAGCCAAAGCCCAACCCTTGCCTTTTGGCAAGGATTGATTGGAAATTTTTTGAGGAGGCCCATGCTGTCTTCGGCAAGGGAAACTTGTTAGACTTGGCAAGGGTTGATTGACGAGTTGCAGTGGTCCTGTTTTTTCAAGTTCAACCAGATCCTGCCGTTTGGTAAGTTTTAGTTGGTCTATCTTGGTGTCGTAATTTCTGCATGGTTGACCCGGCTGGAGCTGGGTTTTTGGCAATAATCAAACTGATTGGTCTGGGGCCTTGGGGTGCAGAAGCTAGGTGCTGCAAGGTTTGTTCGAGCAAGGGCTGCCTGTGACGATGAGCTGGGCATCGAGGTTGATTAATGAAGAGCTGGGCCTAGGACTTGGCAAGGTCAGAATTTCGTGACTCCTTGGTTAAGTCTGCATGGGTCTTATCGTTCGGCAAGGACCTTGACACATGTTTTGATGATTGTTGTTTGTGGTTGCGTAGACCTTCAGCAGGGTGGTCTTGGAGCTAGGCTATGGTAGATCATTAGCTGGGCCCTTGGTGAGAACAAATTTTCGTGAGCCCCCACTTTAGCTTTGCATGGGCCTTGCTGTTTTATGGTTGAAGCCTTCAGCAGGTTGGGCAATCGGCAAGGTTACTGGCTTGAAGGTCCGGGTCGGAGCTTAAGCTGGATGAGTTTCCAAGCTTTTGGTCGAGCCTTGCCTCATTAGAATCTGATTTTGTGAGATCCAAGAGGAGGTCGAGAGGTGTTGGTCATAGTTTTTGGGCACCTCTCTATT